ATAATTTATTTTATATCTAGGAAGAAGATTCTATAGATCGTATACATGCACAAGACAGAGAAGCTATAAAAAAGTTAATTGTTAACTTAATGTTGCATTCTCCTGATTCCATCCAAAAACAATTGTCTGATGCTGTTTCAATTGTTGGAAAGTATGACTTTCCAAATAAATGGCCAGAACTCATAGATCAAATGGTTGAAAAATTTAATACAGGGGATTTTCGTGTTATCAATGGTGTCTTGCATACTGCACATTCTTTATTTAAAAGATACAGATATGAATTTAAGAGTCAGAGCCTGTGGACTGAAATTAAATTTGTATTGGATAGATTTGCTAAACCTTTGACAGATCTATTTGTTGTAAGAATTTTACTTTAAAGTTTTTCATTTAATTATAATATATCAATTGCTTCTTTAAATTTCTAATATATATTTCAGGCTACAATGAATTTAACACAAGTACATGCAAACAATGTAGATGCACTGATTGTTATATACAGTTCTTTGGTAATCTTATCCAAAGTATTTTATTCTCTTAACTTTCAAGTAAGTAATCAAATGTCGAAATAACTATAGTGAAAATACTAAATCTTCTACTAAAATTATGTTTTATTTTTAGGATTTACCAGAATTTTTTGAAGATAATATGGAAGTGTGGATGAGGAATTTTCATACATTGTTAAACGTCAATGTTCCTGCCCTTCAATCTACTGTACTGTTACATATAAATTTGTTATTATATTTTTCTTCATGGCAATATGTGTATGTTACAATGTTTGATGTATGCATAGGATGAAGAAGAAGCAGGGATAATTGAACAATTAAAGTCACAAGTCTGTGACAATATTGGCCTTTATGCTCAGAAATATGATGAAGAGTTTCAACAGTACTTACCTGAGTTTGTAACTGCTGTGTGGAATCTACTAACATCTACGGGACAACAACCAAAATATGATACTGTATGTATTTTTTACTGTATGTCACGGTTTATCTTGCTGTATTAATGTTTTGTATTTTTTCAGTTAGTTTCGAATGCTTTACAATTTTTAGCCACAGTGGCAGATCGTGCTCAATACAGAAATTTGTTTGAGGATCCAACTACTCTAAGTAGTATTTGTGAGAAAGTTATAATACCTAATATGGAATTTAGAGGTAATTATTGAAAACAGTGTATTTAATTATTTTACATAGTAACTTTTAATAAAAAAATTTAATATTTTATAGAAT